CTGGCACCATCACAAAAATGAGCATTTCAGGCAGAGATGACATAATACTTATTTAAAAGAGTTATTTTTATACAAAACTAATTAATCCTTAAAAATCACTTCACCAAATTAATTCATCTTCAAAAAATAGGTAGCATTCTCCTCACCATTTTCGATCTATAATCAAAATCAATCTGCATTTATAAATGTGTTACCTTCTCCACATTTCATTTGTAACTATAAGATTTTGTTTAGACAGGTTCATCCCAATATGCTTTTGTTCATTCCCTAACATTCATATGTATATCATATATTTTGATTTGACATTATATACTATGTAACACTTATTACCCTTCATGGATAATAATAATGTCTGATTACTCAGCCCCAATGATGAAAGTCTGGAACTTACAGAACAATTTAGAAAGTCCTGGTATTTCTGAAGATGAAAATACTGATGATAATAATCTTGTTCTGGAACAACTATTAACTATGTTTAACCATGTTTTTTCAATGTTATCCATTGAAAAAAAATAGTTATCCACTTTCATGATTCTCATATACAATAGCTCCAGGTATAAAAAATATAATGCAGTAAAGACAGTGTGTCATCAGTAAAGCTGTCAAAATATTCTATTTATTAATTAGGGAGGATTTAGTTCATTTCCTGCCACTAACAGCCTGGCTTCAATTCACACTGTACTGTGGTATCTAGTACCTTTCACTCATTTTCCCCAAAATCTCTTTTAATACAATAAGTAAATAAGGAGCTTTATGCAGCAATCAAAAAGATGATAAGTATTTTTTACTATATTTAAAGTTGATTTTTTTTTTTTTTTTTTTTTTAAACTTCTGATGGTGATTTATAATTTCAGTATGACTCATGTGAATGTCTTCAGTAGAATGACTCCTCAAAACTGGCACTGAATGGTATGCTAGTGAATTAGCTTCAAAAAGTTTTACGTCAAAGTAATCACTAGATATAAAGATAAATCACATATAATTATAATCAAGATTAAATTCATATAGCAGCCTTCTAATGACTTTAGAAGATGAGGATAATCAATATATTTTTAATAAACACCTTGTTTGAATTCAGCCCTTAATGGTTTAAACTATTTTGGCTTTTACATTTCTTAAAATTACAATAATAAATGCCTATATTCTTGATTAAGTTCCAATTAAGCTACTGTTTTTCAAGAATATTTATACAGATGAATATGACTGTTAATATTCCATTTCTGGCCTTTAAATAACCAGGATTATATTGGAGTCACCAGATTTTCATCTAATTCACTAATTTAGATTTCTTGAATGGATATTTTAAATGCAAGATAATCTTACTTCATAAATAAATTTAACTTTACCTCATGAAGGGAGGGACATAGGTTTCTTATTTCTAAGAAAAATCATGCCTAATAAACTTTTCTAGTTGCATCATTTTAATAAAAATGAAATCCATTATTGTGGGGGGGATTAGCAAAGTGAAAATAAATAAGAAGCTTTTATTTATTTTAAGAATGTAACTTTAAATTCCCGAGAAATATGGAACACTATAATGCAAAAATAATTTAAGCAATTTGTTTTTTAAAAGTTTATTTTTTTAATAATGACAAACTAAACATATTTATTACTCTTATTTTCCTTAGAACAGCATACTACAGCAATAAGGCTAGCCATATACTTTACATGCCTGCAATGTTAAGATAAATATTACATGCAGAGTATTCATATATACATTTAATATCAATTTACATAAAAAACATTAATGCTATAAAAATTATCACCGTAAAATTTGAAAAAAGTGTAAATATTACAAAACATGAAAGCTCAATAATTTGTCACTAAATTGCATAAGTTATCATGTAAAAAAAAATAAATATGATGAGAGAAAACAAATTGACAAAACAATGTAAAATTACCACAAATGAATTAAATTATCTACAGAATTAAATAATTTATTACATATTTATGAAGCAAAAACAATTTTCAACAAAAATTAAAACAAAGTCATATAGACTGAATGCATTTATTTTGGTTCTCTCAAATTAAATGAATTTCACAAAGCTACAACCTAAGGTGACCACTATTTCCTATGTGTACATATAATGTTTCAAAGGAATTTTGTACAGTTTCACTATAATTACAACTCAATAAAAATTTTATAAAATGCTTTCTCATAATAAATAAAAAAAAAAAAACATGTCTTGTACTAAAAACAAGCATAAAAAATACATTCATTTTTTTCAGTATCTAAATTTTAAAAATATCGTTTTAATCCACTTTATATGACTTAACACAGGAAAATATAGCAGTGTTTATTACAAAGAAATACTTCAACTTATTTTTCAAGTTTCTTCATATATAAAAATTTATCAATTAAAACATTAGAAAACTGAAGAAGCGATGATAACAATGAATAATAAAAATATTGCAGAATATTACACAGAAACTTGGGATTTAATTCTAGAAAACTAAATCAAATGAAATTTTTTTAATGAGTGAAACTTTCCTTGACGATAAAATCACGAAAGCTAAATTTCTGCAATTCAGTCATAATTATTATTACTAGGAAGTTGCAGCCAAAGCAAAATTTATAAGTTCTATGTACCCCTGAAAAGGAAATGTATAAAAACATTTCAGTATGAATAAAATTAGTTATTTTCAATCAAGACAGTTTTGTAATAAATTTTCAGTGCAAACCAGGAAACAAAAAAACTTTTCACCCTCATGGTTAATTCCATATGACGTCGTCTTTTAATTGAGTAATATAACATTTCTCAGCATCAATAAAGAACAATGTATTATCTAACCTGAAACAAAAAAAGTGCTAACAGCAGCTACCTGTTAAATGCGACTCTTTAAGTAAAAAAACTGTCAAATAATGCATCACATGCAATTATGTGCGTCTTATATTTTATTGCAGTGTAAAAGTAATCAGTTACAAATTTGCAAGCTCAATATAATTATTATAATAAATTTTTTCTCAGAAAAATAAAGAGTCAATAAAGAGAAGAAAATTTCATAATATCAAAATGATCGATAAATTACCAAAATTTTCAGTATTAAGTGAGCATGATAGACTTAAAAAAGTTAAGAATGGATACTGAAAGAGGAACGTAAATAAACAATGTAAAAAACATGAATTTTTCTTCTTTCCTTTCTTTTTTTTTTTTTTTTTTTCTTTCTTTCTTTCTTTCTTTCTTTCTTGTTTTTTTTTTTTTATTATTTAAGAGGAAACCTATAGAACTAGTTCATTTTAAATCAAACCAAAAGAGCTGCAGGAATTTAATTTCTCTTCATGTAATTTGTGGGGTTAAAATAGATAATTAGAAATTAAAAGTATAAATTATAATCATATGCAAAAAGAAAATAAAGCAACAGTTTGACAATTCATTTCAAAGAAATTGTATACATTATTCTAAAAGTTTCAGCCTTAGGGGAGGGAACCTATTTAGGGACATTAAATAAAAATTTCAAATATAAAAATGGCCTTTATTTCCCCCTTTACAGAAATGCTATTTTGCAACAATTCTTTTAAATGCATCTACTTACAGAGATTTAATACATTAATAACATTTCTGATTAATGTATTTCCATATTTCAAGAACATCCTTCATATATATTAAATGTATACACAAGTAAAAAGATACAAGTAACACCCTTTTTTTCCCAATAAGATTAAGACAGATGTAAAATTTATGTTTCTGAAAATATAAATTTATAAATAACATTGCTGTTTTATAAATAACTATTTGAATATATACTTTGGAAAATTTGGCAGAATTTATTCCACAATGCATACTTTAGTTCATACTTTTTAATGCATAATAATTTATTACATTGGTTTCATTTACTAAAAATGGCACTTTATAAAAGGGGAAAAAATTTTCATTAATTAAATTTTATGATCTTACAATGACTTTCATATTCAAGAAAATATAAAATAGAAACGCTTTCTTATAGCATCAGATAAAAAGCAATGCTATAACAGTGAAAATAAAATTACATATATTTTACCCATTAGTTAAATTAAAAATGAATATAAATATTATATATTTTTATCAGTACAAACTTTTAATATATATTTGTATGACATTCTGCATTTTAAAATTAATGTTTGTAACCTTTAGTATTAGTTATACATATTTATAAAATAGCTAAAATAAATAAGTATAGCCACTACAAAAAGGAAGGTAATTTATTTTGGAAAAAAGCATTCAAAAGGAGTAAAAATGGTTTATAATTTTATTAAAGAAAAATTCTGAAATTATATAGTCATATTAAAAACCTAGGAAAATATACAAAATGTCTAGCATGCAAATGCATTCATTATTTTTTTAACTATTGAACAGATCCCATTCTCAATAAACTAAATGAATAAATAATATCATTATAAAAAATTATTAATAACAAAAAAGTGTCAGTTCAGTTCATTTTTACGAACTTTTTAGAAGAGTGAAACTTTTCACTAAGATGAAGCCACAGGAAAAAGATACATATAAATTATAACTCAATTTTGAGATAAAAATTCATTTTTTATTTATAACAAAACAAATATTTCAACATTATTCAATAAAAATGTCAGGAATTATCATATTTTCATCAGAAGGGTGTAAGATTAATATTTATATATAAAGACAGCCAGATTTAATAGACAGTGGTACCTTTGTATATGTCAGCTTTAAAATATACCCAGCTTGGTATATATCCTGTTTGGACATAACAATTTTTGTTTGGTATATGATATTTGTTTGGAATATGACTCGAATTCGAAGAGTCATGACTGTAAGCACTACACTTGTTTACCTCTTTCCAGATAATAGCGTGATTGCCTACAAGTGTCAGTACACCTGTTGTTACAATTGAATACACAACCTGGGCTATAACTTTGAATTTTCAGTGATTTCATGTTTTTTACATAAATATTTTGAAAATTCATTAACAGTGAATTTTAATAAAGTTGATGAGAAGTGTTGAGCAATGAAGAAAATTGTTAGGATCAACATAAGGGTGGATTTTTTTTTTCTTTTCTTTCTTTTTTTTTTTTTTTTTTGAAAAGGATAAAGATGGATGCAAATCCTAGACTAGGCTACGGCAAGAACTCAAAGTGATTTAAATTTGCTTTATAACACATGAATCGGTTTATTCAATTATTTATATCATGATCTTAATGCAAAATATATTAATTTTTAATTACATATTCTAAATTTTACATTCTTTGGTGAATTTCATTTTGTAATTTTCATATGCTTTTATATTCAGAAAATTCTAATTTTTAAATATAACGAAAATAAAATTATTTGCATTACATATTTTTCACTTCCTGTTCCAAAATGGGATTAACAACTCTACATGTTGCTATAAAGAAAAATCGTATATAATTATGATTAAGCTTAAATTCATACAGCACTCTTCTAATGACTGATGAGAATAATCAATATTTTTTTTTAATGAACACCATGTTTGAATTTGACCTTTAATGCTTCAAACTATTTTAGCTTTTAAATTTCATTAAATTACAATAATAAATGCCTATAACTTTGAATGCGTTTCAGTTAAGATACCACTGCATAATAAAGAGCTTTTCATAAGCACAGAAACTAATTATTAAATGCTAACACAGAAACAAATAATTAAATGTGATAAAGAGAAAAAATAACTTTAAAGGATGCTTAAATATGATGTATTTCACGTTTCAAAACAAATTAATAGAATAAAATATCATACATACTAAAGAAAGTATCAAAATATTGCCAATTGGTGTTTTAAAATGAAAACTAAATTGACTAAATTCCTCTGTCAAAGCTATCTGGACATAAAAACTATAAAAAGATGGAATGGAATTTTTATCATAAAAATCATGAAATAAAGGTAAAGTTACAATGATTCACTTTTGGACGGTAATAGGTGAATAACCACCAATTTTCCATTATAGCTTTGCCTCTATTAGAAGTGCAATACAATGAGGTTATTAGACTTACCTCCCCTTTATTGTACATGAAATTCTTCAAAAGAAATTTAGTTTTTTAATTTATTTTAATTATCATAAAATGCAGTTACAAAGTAAATTTCCTTAAAATACATTTTAATAATTTCTATTTAAAAATTCTATAAATTTATGTATAACAAAAATATCATTCCTCTTTACTATACACTATATGCACCACAGGCAAAGCACAAATTCCTTGCATATCTGCTATACAGCATGAAGATAGCCATCAAGTTTATTGAAATTCATAGAAGGTCCACTGAATGGAGAAAACCAAACTAATGAAAATCTTCCAAATACTGAACGTAGACTACGCCAAGGTGATCTTTTCTGCCATCGAACAGATTCTTTTTTCAGTTGTTCAATACCCTAAAATAAAATATGTCAATAAATTTCATTCCAAATTGGACTGGCTGCTTTTTAAACAGGTTTGGATATTATTTTTAATAAAGCAATTTATGTTTTACCTATCTTATGCATTTAAAACAATATTTTAAAAAGTTTCTTTTTTTTTTATTACCATGCAATTACAAGGCCTCTATAGTATTTATATAGATTTTAGATTACATAAACTAATATACCTGAACAGGAGAATCTACCATAGTTGCAATAAAGGATATAAAATGATTGAACATACTTTAGATAAGATAAAATTGATGCAATAACAAAAATTAAATAAAAAATACCATCTAACACTTTAAAAGAAAAGTTTACCATTAAATATTAAAAAAACTATAGATGATCATGAAAAAGATCATACACCAGTTAAGTATCACACATTAAAATTACCTTCAAATGTTAAAAAAACATCATTTGGACATAACATGAATTAAAAGCATTTTAACTTACATCCATTAAATAGAGCATCAAAAAAGTAAAATAAAGCTTTAAACTTTCAGTACATTTATTCCTTTTTAAATTGCTGTTTTATAAATCAATAACAATTATTAAATTTGAACTGGATATATGTGTGGGCATATAGAAGATAAAGATCTTATGTTTCAGTGACAACACTTCTCGAGACACAAAGATTATCAATGCTTTTTTCCAGATTCTTTCTGCTCTTCATTCTTTAGTTTCTGAAGCATAGTCATGCGTCAGGATTTTTTACTGCAAAGATGTGATTTTACATGCTAACTTGATAGATGAGAGAGAATAAAAAAAGGTACATCTACAGTACTATAGTACTGGATATATATATAATATATATGTATATATAATTTATGTTCCTTGGGGATGTTATATAAAAAACTTTATTTGGCAGCTTTAGTGCAAATATTAGGCCTTTTAAATTATTCATAATTATACACATATATTATACATAGTGTTAAGAATTTTGTATTTAGATAGCTAATTTTAGCAGAATTATAATAAAAATTGTTTAATTTCCCTGTGGACTGCAGCACGCGATAAATTTTAAGAGAAAGCTACGCTGAAAAAAGCAAAAATATATGAGCATGTGCATTTAACATTGAATAAATGGATATCTCTTTCATTGGTATTGAAACTGAATATATGTAATTGACTACTGTATTAGCTGTAACCGTAATTCCATCCTCTCGTCGGTTTCCAGAAATCTGGAGAAGAAAAGAAACTATAGAAGTGTCTTGCGACTGACTGAAAGCTTTAAAAAGCCGGAGAGAGACATCTCAGCTCAGTTGCTTAGTTAGCTGCTGTTGTTATTGTTGATAAGCTTTCTCTGCGCTTTGTGTTCTATTTAACATTCTTAGTACTTTAAACTACTGATTATAACTGTGTGATATTGTGAACATATTTCTGAGCTAAATTACACCATTCTATTGTATTTCTTTTGATAAGAATAAATTTGATTTACCTTTTATCGGACATGTGTATTCAATCTGTTATGAACCCATACACACACAACAATAGTATCACAATTTTTTTTATTACAGTGTTCTCATTTTATTTCTAGTAGATTTTGTATTTCTATATTTTAATTTCAATTTTTCTCAATTTTAATCTTACATTATGTGAAAAAAAATATACTTATTTACTTTATTATTCAAATTTCGGATTTTCTTCATTTGGATGTTTTTAATATTGTTCACTACCAGATTGCTTCTTTGTTCTCTGAGTAAGTTTTAAATTCAGGTTTTCAGTTTATTACCCCAAAGGACTATTAATTTTGTTTTGACATTTTGCATTGGAAACTTTACAAATCTGAATCACTTTCTAAATTGTTGCCACCAAATATTATCGCCCTGTACTATATTTAAATAAATTAAATAATGAAGAATCTGCATAAATGTAAGTTTCTTGCATTGTGATAAAACAACGGTACCTAAAGCCATCAAATTTTGAGATAACTGTAGTTCTACCACCTGAGTATGAGTCTCTGGAAGCCTGAATTATGCATTTCGAATTTGTTTTATTATCTATTTCATATTTTCTAAAGCATTTATGAGTTTTTGATTAAGAAACTCAACGATTTCAAAGAAAGCAATGGCAACACTATATGGGGGGAAAACAATTTCTCTCCAGTGCACGAGAATGTGTATTAGAAATTCTAGACATATGCTCTTTTTAAATTATTTTGTGATATTACTGCTGAATTGAATTTTATGGTTAAGTGTGAAGAACATGATATTTAATATATAAAGGTAACACACCAAACGTTAAAAAAAAACGCCCCTTTGGGCGTAATGTAAAATCTGAAAGCTTTCAGATTTTTTATTACAGTTTGCTTAATCAAATACCATTTATTGCATACTTCATCTTAAATCGCTATATTAAGTGTTCATCAGGGAGGACTTCCAAATTTTTAAAAAAACCTTTATAATTAAATACTTTAGAAAGTTCATCAGTTAATTCTGGATACAGAAATGCAGTTTTTTTCTAGTGAAAGAGGGAATTGTAATTGAGTCTGCAGTATCCCCCTCTTGATAACATTTTGTCAGATTTGATTGAATTCTTCTTCTTTTATATATATATATATATATATTGGTTTTCACACTTTTTTCTGGTTTTTATAATTTTTAGATTTTAGTTTCGCATTTCTTTAATTTTTTGCATATTTATAGGATATTTTGAAATTTATTCGTATTTAATTTCACTTCTTTTGATCATTGCGTAAAATTGTTTCTAAATTTCTTACTTTTTGTCAACAAACACACATATATATGTCATGATTCCAGAAGCAAAAAAGAGGAATTAGCTTGCAGTCGTTGTAGCTGAGCTTACTGATGAAGACAAGACATGAACTTGACGAATTTCTAGTATTTATTTCCACACATATAAAATCATCTCTATAGATGTTTATCCAATCATAATGAAATTAGTGACATTTCTATGATTTAGTCATAATGAAATACAATAAATTTCTATGTATATTGATTCTTAAAAATAAGACGCAGGCAGTTTAGACGGGGAAGCAAAGCAAAGAGCTATTAGCACAGTACAAGTTAGCAGAAAAAGTCACAGAATTAATGTAGTTAGCTAGTCAGATGTTTTATACCAAAGTAGGTGCAATTCTAGTAATAAGCTATGATTGATCAACATTACTTTTAGTTACCTTTTTCCACCAGTGTTATGTAACGTCAAAAAATCTTGAATTTGGCAGAACAGATGAATTTAGGGGGACCTGCTGATAAGAATTTTTAAGTGCATGAAACAAACTTGGAAAAATTAGTGTAGAATATGATAAACAAATAGTGTTTTTGAGTGTTTTGTAGATCTAACGCATGAAAATATGAGTAATTCAAGAAACTGAATTATCATAAGTAGTATGGAATTATGTTAACTAATTTTCAAATTTACGAATCATATGCTCAAATAAACTTTGAAGGCTCCCGCTTTTTTCCCCGTATATAATAGTTCTTTTTTTTAATATATCATGGAGTGTGGTTAATTTTTTTATAAATGGAATGTTTTAGTTCAGTTAAATAAGGCCAGCTGCCTTTAAAACAAGGAATGGAGGCCTTTATAAATAACTGCCGCGAGCATCCCTTAACCATTGGTGAAAAATTCATACACTAATTCGTTATTGGATTTGCCCATAATATGGAAATGTTTTTATTAAGAGAAAGTTGTAAGGTCTTCCAGTTCATACAAAATTAGTAAATTAGAAATTCCAGTAATAATAGTATATTATTTCAAATGAAAAATTAATTACATTATAATATTTTGAAATTTTTCACAATTTTGTAATGTTAATGAATGCATTTGAAATTTTTATATTTGGAAAGTTTTCCCTAAATGGATATAATTATGAAATTTATTTTCTTTTTTTATATTCACAAAATTATATGCTCCATATTATTATTGTAGGGAAGTGTTGAATTTAATATATCTTTAATTTTTGAATATTTGTTTTTCACTTCATTTAACTAGTTTGAAGATTTTTATGGCTATAACTCATAAATGCAAATTTTGATAATTGTACAATACTAGAGGCCAGTTACCTTTATTAAGGAATGGAGGCTTCTATGTGTAATTGTATTTAAGCATCCCACAGCCATCAGCAAGTTGTGCTGATTTGCATTACAGGGGATTTTGCCCATTTTTATCAAGTTTATTTTGCTATTGTTTTGAATTTTGTTACATACTATGTATTAAGTTCTAAATTCCATTTTACATTACTTTACAAATAAGAAATTATGGATTATTTTATACGTGTTGAATAATTAATTCAAATTTCATGAATCTATAAAAGAAAATTTGGTTTTATATTGGCAACATCAACTTTTATGAAAGACTTTCAAAGCAAAGGACTGCAAAATATTATGATTATGATATTGAAGCAAAGATTTTACGGAACTGTGAACATTTCCAGTATTTTCTTGAAAAAAATTACGTCATTCTTTCAGTCATTTTACAGAAAAATGAACTTGCAGACACTTTCAATTTGCATTTATCATTAAAAATATTTACAAGATTTAATTTTAAAACATGATTTAGATCAAAATTCTGTGATTTTTTTTTTTTTCCATAATTGTATTTTTCTTTGTTTCATTACTACTGTAATGCTTTCTTCTTAAAAGGCTTTTCTCTCACCAAGCCTTTTTTTCTTTGAAGGGGGAGGGGATTTGTAAGATGAAAAATATGTAAATCAAAGTATAATTTAAACTAATGGGTCACCCTTTAATTATCCCTCTCTGTTTTAAAAAGCGTAATAACTTCTCTGAATTGTGCCATTTCTAGATCTTTCCATTTTGCATGGCCTGTGCAGCATTGATGACATAATAATATTGGGAACTGAAACTCTTAACTAAACCAAAACCTTCCTCTTGAACTTTCATATTAAACCCTGGATAACTACACACTTCAGCTTCTCTCTGCGCTCTGCTTGGATGTAATTTCGCTGTGCTCAACAATATAAAAAGTGTAAATGTTCTGTAAAAAGGCACGAATAGAGTGCCAAGTGATTGTGGTCACAAATGTCAACTGGAAAATAAAAACGGAATTAAAACCGCCTTGACTGACAAGTTTCTTAGATATTATGAACTCAACATATTAGCATACTGCACAATCAATCAGATTTCCTCCTCTTCAATATGGATCTACGATCTATCCTATCTAGCTTTTACACATCGAAACTGCTCCGTCTTTTCTTGCTATTACTACATATATATATATATATATATATATAATATGGATCTACGATCTATCCTATCTAGCTATTATGCATCGATGCCTTTTCTTGTTTATTACATACACACACACACATATATGTTTGATACAGCAAATAGCAGTTAAAAAAAAAGGGTGCAAAGCTAGATGTCATAGCAATCCCATATACAAAATTGATTAGCCATGCAAGACATATAAATACGCACGTATGTACAAATGTCACATCTTTTTTGGAAAAAAAAAAAAGTTCTTTATTCTGCCCATACAAAAATCATCCAAACGGACTTGGAAATAGAATTCATATTTCCATTGAAATATGAATACCCAAAAGTTTTCGTTAATACACTACTTCCTTTACTTTGTACAAGGAAGGAAAAACACATCTTTCATCAAACTACGCAATAAACAGTGAAACTTCGATCAAAGTTTCCATGCATATTTATGCTTATTGTTGAGACTATCAATGAAAGCACTTCAAGATTGCTGTATTTCAACTTATTATAGCCCATTGTTACTAGGCAAATATTTTGAAATTTATCAACTACTTATTTCTTTGACATTTTCTTTAGTGTCTGCAGTTTGCTGTTATTTTAAAACACTTTTTAAAAGAACAATGGTGAACTGAAAATACAGAGTGAAAACTGCATTTATCTAAGGAATAGTAACGCAAATGATAAACAGTATAAATTAATAATTTAACCTATATTTAACAGTTCAAAAGTTTATACTTTTAACACAAAATTTTAAAGAATCATCTTTAATATTTTAATCAGCAATGCACATTTAATAAACAATTTGATCAGCTTGTAATTATGATAATACCTACCGTTTCATCATTCCAGATAGCTTGAACTTGAGTACCAAACATCACACAGGTAAAAATTGCAAAAAGTAATGCTTCAAAGATGAGTAAAATTAGTAAGATTACTGTAGCTGGGGGAGATTTGCTAGAGCATTCTGAATGAGAAAATCATAATCTAATTAATTAATTTAAAACATATATAGAAAATAATCTAAGCCAAAAACACAGATAAAATATCAAAGAATTAATTTTAACTAAACTATCATAAAGAATCATACTGAGTAACATGACTAAACAAAAACTGCTGCACGCATATACTAGGTACCTTCAAATTTACAGCATCTTGCCTTTTAATTTATTCATCATTTCTTTTCATATTTACTTACTTCATAATTTTAACCTAAAGCACAAATTAGTGCTTTATGATGAGCGTTCATTATCAAGAACATATTCTGCAGCAAGACAATAAAGAAAATGTTTGCTTAAAATATACAGATAATATTAGTTCTCAACCTTTGAGTGGCTAAGCATACACAAAAAAATTATCAGTGTGACCAAAAAAAGTTATAATAAATGTTGATTAAACAAAATCAAAATATTCAGTAAATTTAAATTTTAAATTGAATAAAAAGATAAGTATTTACAAGAATTTTTTATGTCAGAGTTATGAAAAAATGGGAACAAAAATAATGCAATGAATTTTAAGTACATCACATCATTTTAAGTCCCACATCAGTCATACAGCTTTGTATCTTATGCATTGCGGCATGTAGCTATCCCACTTCCCTGCTCTGTCTGTCTGTAGCATATAAAATAAATAGCACTCAACCATATTTTTAGTATTGAATGAATCATCAAGCGAGTTGCATAGCTTTTTTTTTCTTCATAATTATGGCATTCAAACCAATATGAGGGTGGGGTGAAAATGAACGCTTCGCTAAAGAAGTATCTCAGTCAGACTGAAGAGAGGATATATGTAACAGAAGTTTACTTTATAGGAACTATTCATCCAGCCTTCATACCTTTTTGCACAAAAGCTGTTGAACAACTACCGGTGTCAAAGCCACATTTTTTTTAGAGTTCTAATGCGCATTGTTTATGAATCATCCCACCTGTACTATATTAAAGTGCTGTGTGGATCATTAAAAGTAACAAGAAATGAAGCTTCAGGTTTCATCTGATTCCTTGGTGCCTTCAAGGTAAACTTGATTTCTAACTTCTAGTACATACATATTTAAACTTAAAAAACAGCATTGTGCATATGCTTGTAAACTTAAAAATTGGCATTGTGCATATGCTTGATCCTAGAAACCAGGCAATGAGACTCTGTAACAACAAACAGAACATTTATTAAACTTTAGCATAATTTAAAATAAAAAGAACAAAAAGGAATGGTGATCCACAGCGCTGTGCAAACTACACAAGATCTTCCCACTACTGGGCTTTCTGCAACAGCAGCAATACAGACATAACAGCTTGGCTATTTGTAATGATTGCAAGCAGCTTAACCACACAACCTAGGATTAACTGCAATGTGAATTCCAAACATAGCTTCCAAGCTGCAATCAAACTGTTGCCACCAAATATTACAGGCCTGTATTATATTTAAAGAAATTAAATAATGAAGAATCTGCATAAATGTATGACTGTTTCTCGCACTGTGAGAAAACGACGGTACCTAAAGCCCATCAAATTTTGAATAACGTACTTTTTCATCCGAATATGGACGTGAACATAAATATGTTCATTTCATGTCTATGTTTTATAATTTATTTTCATGTATTATACTTTTTTTTAAGAACTCAGGTCACTTGAAATTATGAAATGGGTCACTCGGTGATTTATGGGTAAAAGATTGCTTTCAATAATAATTAATCATAAATGCATTCAATAATGTAACTTTTTAAAGAAAAAGAAATAGTTTTTCTTAAGCATTTTTAAATCAGCACTGTTTTAAGTAAAAAAGTCTATGAAGATCCAAATTTTAAATAGTTGCAAAAACTTTTGTTCCATATTAAATTTCATGTACACACGGCAACAAGAATTGTGACCCTTTGTGATACACAGTACAAAGTCTCTAATCCGGACTTCCATTATCCAAAATGATCTATAATCTGGGCCTCAAAGCCACAAACTTATGCATGCGCGTAAAGCCAGTAAAGCGTTTACCCATGCGTGCTTCCAATAGTGAAGAAAGTAACAGAGAACGTTATTGAAAACGAAAAAATTTCGATTGACAAGTTAGTCGGTATTCTCGACACAGCAATTACAGGACTTGAACGGTGAAACTTCGTAACTGAACAAGAAATTATGTCTGTTTATAGAATTAAAGAGAAAGTATTAGCACAAAAAACAAAGCAACTTACATTGATAGAAATGTTTACTAAAGTAAACAAATAAATAATGAGCTTTTTTTTTTTTTTTTTTTTTTTTTTTTTTTTGTAAATTTTGATACCCTTTAGATCATAACTGCTCTCTCTTTATTTCATAAATTATGGTTTCATATTTTTAATTGTATAATTTCTGCATGCCATCTTACCAGATTTAAATTTATGATCTATAATCCGGAAAAACTCCTAATTCGGAATTGCCGAAGTCACAACGAGACCGGATTACGGTCTTTGTACTGTAGTGGTACAGAGATCAAACAAGTTTACACTGCAGCTATGGAAGCTTTCCTTCTTTTCCTGTACAATCTTTGGTGAAGTTTTGTTTTAAATTAATTCCCCCTCTCTACAGTTGCTAAATATAAAATGTTCACATAAATATGGATAAGTGATTAAAAAGTAGACCACAGCATATAGCTGAAATTAATATAGATAAATAATTCTAATTTGGCATCTCTCCAAGCAGTTGCAAGGGATGATAGGCAGAAAATCTCTCTCTCTCTGTCTCTTTTTTTTTTTTTAATATGAGTTGATGAGAGCACTAATGCACCAGACATTTTGGTCTTGCTTTTATTGTAAGGTATGTAAATAGTTTGAGGAAAATATATGCAATATTACTCAGAATTGTCTAGTTATCTCATAGAATATTACACACAAAAGACCATTTTTAATATTATAAAAAATTATTTTGGGGATAAGATTACTAGCTGCCAACTACTTTGGTATATGGGCATAGACAGGGGAAATCTATGGCAGTACTCTAGGCACACATACTAAATGCCTATCTCAGGTAACTTGCAGCCCCTGGCAAAGCATAGCTTACAAAATCTTACCACAGTCATTTGAGAAAAATGTGCAACGAATCTATAAAAGTTTTTAATTTCATATTCAATGCAACAATTTTCAGACTTTTCAAAGCACTACATAAGGAGATGGATAGACTACACACTCCCTTACTTTTGCATCAGAAGTTTGCACGAGAGGGAAAATACTAAATAAATTGTTCAAGTTATGACACATGATTGAAAGTTTTCATTCTTTGAGAAAGCATATAAGATTAAAGATTCCAATGTAAAAGATTTCAAGATTTAAGTAAAACTTGAAATTTTGCAAAAATTTTATAGCTTTAAGGACTTGCATACCCATCCAGTATTTTTTCACAAATAAATAAAATCAATTTGTTTTTATGGAACAGTTCTATACCTATTTTCAAAGTATCTGACAAAATTAATTTGGCTACACCCCCCAAAAAAATCATGAATTCATAAAAAAATCAGACTGAAATACTTGAGACACTAAACTTTTTATTCGGAAATGAACTCGAACTACAAAAAAAGTAAAATAAAATGTTATAACCTCCATAAAAAGATTCTGGGGCTTGTTCAAACGTTGCTTTCTTTCACAAACAAAGCAAGAAGTACTACCAGATTTCAGACCTTTGCAATGAATATTTCTTTACACAGCATCAAAATTATTATTGCCCGAGAAAGAACAATTGACTGAGTTTTTAATTGATTCCTAATTAAAGGACATGTTTCAAAATCACTTTAAATTTTATTTAAACATTATGAGAAGAATGGCAAATCTGAGTAAACTTAGACACAATTAAATAAATGATATTAAAATAATCATTAATATTTTAAATTCAATGTAAGAAGATTCCTAAAATTTTAAAACAAATTATTACAGAACAAATGTTTAAAAATCTTGATTGGAGGGCAAAAACCTTTTGAACATTTACCTGTAATTGTTTGCCCCTATATTCACCAAATTTACATCATATGATGGTTAACAAAACATCTGATCAAGTAAACTGAAAATCACAAAATAAGAATTATTAAATAACTTTGATTGCACTCGTTCACATGCTCCACTCATCAAACCTTGCATAGCTAAAACCAGGGCCAGCACTAGACATTTTGCCAACCAGTGAAATCTCTGATGGTTCTAAATTCTGCTGCCCAGTACTGCCAAAATTCTAAAAAAATTTCCACCCCTAAATTTTGTTGTTGGTTGTTTCTTTAAATTCTGACACCCAGCAATCATACCAGCTTTGGCTAAAGTTATATGTAATTACTAATGATAAGAAAACATTTCAGTCAATATGACCAGCAGAGGAACACTATTACAAAAGAAGAACTTTCAAACAGCTTTCTATGCTAGGTCACTCATTGCATTCTTCAAATTTTGTGGAGATCAAACTGTATGAAGCCAAATGGTAAATGAGTTTGAAACATTTATGCTTAAAACACAAGAACTAAAAAAGATTACAAAGAAAACAGTTTTCAGTGGTCATATGAAAATTATTAATAGTGCATTCAAACTAGAGGGTTGACTACGTTGAATATCCAATGTCCAAGGAACAAGACATACAGTGCATTTTAATTTTAATAGAAATTAGGATAAAACTTACCACAGCAGATCCTGTATTTTAAACAAAATAACTATAGTAAATTTAAATAAAGTAAAATAAGATTAAATTAAAAAAATGATCAATTAAAACAGAAATAACTTACTGTTCCAATCACTGTTCACACACATTATGAAGTGACTTATGGCTAGAAAAAATGCATGAGACGATATCACAGCTATATAAAACTGAAAAGAAAAAAAAATTATAAAATATATAGCAAAGGCATTTTATATTATAAATTAGTGCAAAATAAACTAGGCACTATTTCAGTTTACTTATCACTATTATGAAAGAAAATGAAATCTGTAAAAGAACAAACAAAAAGCTTCTTTATCACTGGATAACAACAAAAATGCAAATAAAAAGTTGCATAAAATTTTTAAACAACTATATTTATTGTATTTTTTATTTATAACAGAAATTGCATAAAAATAACCCACAAATACAAAACATACAAAATGACCACATTTTAGAAGATTCAACATACTTTTGTTGCTGTTACGCCATAGGACAGTAAAATGCAACCAGTAAGATCACACAAATCTAGAAATTATCTAAATTATGTATATGTATGTGTAGATATATATAAAGATACTAAAACTATACAAATTACAGAGACTTAAATGGGATGACCATCTGGCTAGAATGAATGAAAATCGTTGCTGTAAGAAAATCTTTCTGGCGAAGCCCATGGGAAATAGACCTCGGGGCAGACCCCACTAAGATGGATTGATCGTGTCAAAAAAGATCTTAATATTTTAAGGGTTAAAAACTGGAAAACAATTGCCAAGAGTAGAGATGCCTGGAGAAGACCAGGGCCCACCCAGGGCTTATCGAGCCATTGAAGAAGAAGAAAACTGTATAAAGAAACCTATTACATTTTAAAATAATGAATCAAATTTAAAGAAGTAAGGGTTCCTTACTATTTTTGAAAATTATATTATAAAGTTGATATACTAGTCATATTTATTAACACATTATTGGTTATTCATATTTTCACGTTTTAGACCCACTTCTCAAGGAGTAATAATCTGAAAGATCAAAACCTGAGTAATTTTAGAGTACTGTGCCACATTTCGTTCCATATGAACTTTTGAGCATTTAAAGATAAAATGCACCACAAAATGAAATGGGAATTGAAATAGAAAAATTAAAAATATATACATATTTACACCCCATGCTCAAATGAGTCATGTAAGCCCCCTGATATGATAAAGTCTTGCATAAGTAAAACTTTAGTACATAATTTTAATAATAAAATTGCCAAAAAGATATAAAATGTAACTGAATAGAAAATCTTGTATAAACACTTCAATTTACATTGAAAATACAGTGGTCAATTTAACTATACAATTTAAATTTTGACTCATAACTGTACAATTTGTAAAATAAACTGTAAACTTTGATTCATAATATATTTGCCTATAAAAATGTTGTTGCCTATAAATGATTTGCTTATAAAAACTAATATCTATCTATATACAGCGTGTTTCAAATAGAATATACATATTTCGAATGCATATAGTATTTATTAAACAGTATGACATACGAATATGAAACTTTACACACATATGTACGAACCTCTCAAGTTCAGATTACAGATGTTCAATATGTCCTCCATCAGCGACATGAACAATATCATATCAATACTCAAATTCCTCTCATATTCGGGCAAGCATGTTCGTTGTCACTCATGTTATGAGAGTATGGATCCAGTTTTTCACCTCTTCCAGGTTCTGTGGGAGTAGTAGTACATAAACATTGTCTTTAATGAAACCCCATAGGAAGAAGTTACAGGGTGTCGAACTCGAGAGCACAAAATGATTTCTGCTGCGGAGTAGCCATTTTAAACATGTGACACTTACCACACAAAACAGAAGACAACTGACATTTAGCGGCTATTAACTCTTTCGCATCGAGAGAGGACAAAATCTCAATTTCCCAAACATCGAAAACGCCCGTATCTAAGAATTTCTCCTGGAATGCTTTTCCTTCCCCCATGACAAGTTGAATACTACAGCGCTAACAATAGCCTTACTTAAGTAAAGCGAGAACTTCTTTCTTCGACGCTTTGACACTGGGATTGCAACTTCGGGCATCAAAAGCTAAACACTGACAGTAAGCAAAGGAAAGGAAGGAACAAAGGAAACAAGGAAATTGACAACAAAGAATGATTGACATGTGATTTAACAACACCTGAAAGCAATGAGTAATGCAGTAATGTGATGGGGGAAAGCACTGGGTAGGAAATTATTCAGGCGTTTCGGGCGTCGATCCGATGTCTGAATGCTAGGGCGCTTTGGGCGACTTCGATGCGAAAGAGTTAATATAAACTAGATTTATGCATTTGTTTCACCAATAGCTGAGCCAAGGTGCAGTGATTGATAGTTTGGACAAAATAACACTTTGAAATACGTATATTCTTTTTGAAACACTGTATATAGAGAGTGAGCGAAAGATATTATACACAAAATTTTTTTTTATGCCGCGTTTTTATTTTTCATTATTATTTATTATTTTAAGACAATTGCATTCATAATGAAAGGCACCATTGATACTTAAAAGCAATTAAAACTTATTCATGATGCACAAGGGTGAGAACTAATGTTATATATATTTTGTTAAGGAGAAGTTGTAACACTCGTTTTCATACACACATAAATACCTATATCTAATACTATATTTTTCTCACAATGACATTAAGCAATTCATAAATTGCAGTAAATATATATTTATATATATATATTAATGTAGAAATAAAAATAACTTACATAAAATACAACAGTATTTTTCAATTTTGGTTACCAAGATAAGCTGCAGATGAAAACATGTATTTTAACTAAGTAACACAACTTTTAGATCTGCATTTAAATAATTCCTATTAACGAGATTTTTAAAATTATTTTTAATTTCCATAATCTTCAATGCATTAGGATGAAATTCGGATCATTAAAGAAAATAAAAATATGAAATACTTTGAATAATAAAGTAATACAGTCAAAAGTCTTTAATCGGGATGTCCATAATCCGGACCTCAAAGCTACAAAATTTCTGCGCATGCGTAAACGTGCGTGCACGTTTAATGTATAATGGACGGTATAAACTAAGCTAAAATTACCTAATTATCTATTTCAGTTAATGTTGCAGATTGCGTTATTCCTTAATCTTCTAATTGGATTCGGCTTATTATTTTTTGCAGACTAGAGCAATTTTATAAAAGTAAGCTTGAACTTTCGATTATGTCAAAAAGAATTTCCGATTCTGGAGCTGCCAAAGGATCTACAAAGCGAAAGCATGTTTCGATGTCCATCAAACAAAAAGTGGAATTGCTGCAAAAAATGGATAAAGGCATATCCTTTGTTTCTCTAACCATTCCAAAATCTGTTTATCAATTTCACGCTGCTCTGCGGGGGGGGGGGGGGGGACGTCGCGGCGTGCAATGAACTGGAAGTTGATCTGTCAGCACTATCCTTATCTTCAGGGCAGATGTTTTTATTTTATTCGGCTTATAATTCCTTACTAAATGTAGTATTTCATCTCGATGTACTCCGTCTTTGATATGATTTAAATCAAATTCCTCGTCATTATAAATATCACGAATACACATCAAATAGTTTTCTGGTTGCAATTTTCTAATTTCGACTATGCGTAATGTATGCTTTACGCATGCGCACGTTGAAAGAAATGTTTAATAAAGTAAACAAATAAATATTAAGCTTTTTTTTTTTTGTAAATTTTGATACCCTTTAGATCATAATTGCTCTTTATTTCATAAATTACGGTTTCATATTTTTAATTTTATAATTTCTGCATGCCATCTTACCAGATTTAAACTGATGATCTATAATCCGGGAAAACCAATAATCCGAAAACGCTGAAGTCCCGGATTAAAGACATTATATACCAAATGACTGCAAATCTGAAGACACAACAAAAACAGTCAAGCCACTCACAAGGTCAATAAGATTGTTTCAGAATAAATAAGGTTTGCTACACATATATTTATTAATGCTGATTTCAGACTTACAATTTTCTTTCATTTTCCCGATTTTTGTTATCATTCACAGATTTTTAAGTCATGTCTTTTAAAAGTATGGTGAATACAAACCAATTTCCCTCAGAAAGTCCTTCATGAAGGCAAACCTCCCCTTTAAGGCAGATAGCCCTTGTGTGCTTTGCCGCATTCAAATAACCTAGCCTCTTGATAGCATGTAAATGCTTTCTAGGAATATTTAAATTAAGAAGATTATTTCTATTTACTAGGTCTTTCTTATACTCTATTTCAGTAAAATATAATTAAAAACCATCTAATTCTTAATCTAAAAAATTCCCTTACTGGTAAAAATAAAAATGTGGTGATATAGAAATAATCATTAGTCTTTCACTTTAGTTTGAGCTATACAAACTGCTGTTTCCTTCATAAGCACAATAGCATAGAAAGGAAAAAAAAAAAAAAAAAAAAAATCGCAGTATCAAAAGTGCTAGTCAAAATGAAGAAGATTAGGCCTACAAAAGTTTTATATATGTATATAAACCATTAAAGCATATAATATATATATATATATATATATATATACAGGGTGGTCATAAAGAGACTTTGTCAACATCTGCACTTCTAGCGTTCGTTCTGGTTAACCGATCGAGATGAGATTTTAAGTATAGTTATTCAGAGGTATGTGCTCGAGATTCTGTGAATGGCAACACAGGGGTGCTCAGGGTTACAGTTAGTTAAAGAAACTGAAAAATTTCGGATGGCAACACCAACTTTTTCCCGTTGCAAAATGTTCAGCATATGAGAAACCCTGAACAGCATCGGTCAGGTACCAATATATTCAAAACAAGACATGTTATGCATACATACACACACACACACACACACACAAAAAAAAAAAAAAGTTCTGAAAACCAGCCAATAAAAACATGATCTGGATGCACACAGAAAATTTGTATATGACAGTGACAAGATACCAATCATAGAACACCAATTGTCAGATATTCAGCTAAAATGTAAAGCTGCTAGAAATTAATGCTAGAAATTCAACATTGAAGGACATTTGGTTTTAATTAAAAAAGTAGTTTTATAAAAATATATAGTGCTGAATAAGAGAAGAACATTTAGTGTCATTTCAGAAATAGTGAGAAATCTAGTTCTAACTCTGGACCAAAATTCATCAAGGACTTTTGA